GGCCCCGCCCCTCACCATGGCGCGTGCGCACCAGCCGAAGGCCGCCTTCCCGTGGGGGAAAGGGGCGGAGACCTACTGAGGCGGTGCCAGGAGTGTGCGCACTCGCTCGCTTCCCCCACTGCTGGTTTGCGCGTGCGTCTGAGACTCTGGGCGGAGGCTCAAGGGAGGCGGAGCCTGAGGGAGGTCTCTTAGGGGCTGATGAGAGTGGGCAGGTGCGCAAAGCTGAGGCCAGACCCGTGTAAGCCTTGTGGTGCCCGACTGGGGCTACAGGAGCCACCCAAATCCCCAAAAGTTGTGCGAGACCACCCAGAGTCAATTTAAGTCTTATTGTCGCTAATGGACACACAGCCCTCCGAAAAAAAGATCATTTCAAAACATTTTTTTTTAAGTTGTGGCAAATATGACATAAGATTTACCACTTTATATTCTAAGTGTACAACTCAGCGGCATGAAGTACCCCTGTCCTGCGACCACCCCCACCCTCCGTCTCCAGAACTTTCCATCTCCCCAAACTGTCCCCATGAAGCACGGACTCCCCACCCCCTGCCCCAGCCCAGGCTCCCACCGTCTCCTCTCTGTCTGTGTGGACGGGACTCCTCTGGGGACCTCAAATAATTGGAGTCATACTGTTAAAAAAGAAACAACAGACCCAAAATGGATTCACTCGTGTTAAGCCCCACGTCAGCAAAACAAGACTTAATACCTAACCTAACTGCAGTTTTGGCCTCTCCCAAGAATGTGACCTTTAACTAGTCAATCTGGAATTACTTGGTGGTCACAAGTGAGGCAATCTGCCTGATAGACTCCCCGCCTTCCCCCAAAGGAAGGAGACTCCTGCCTGAAACAATCTACTCTTTCCTAGAAACTTCCTTTTTCTGCCTATAAAAACCTTCCCTTTTGTACAGCTTCTCGGAGTTCCTTTCTACCTGCTAAGATAGGATGCTGCTCATTTTATTAATTATCAAACAAAGCCAATTCGATCTTACATTTACCCAGTTGAATTTTGTTTTTTTAACAATAGAGTATTTGTTCTTTTGCGTCTGCCTGATTTCACCAAGCATAGTGTCCTCAAGCTTCATCCATGTTTTATCAGGTGTCGGAATTTCCTTCCTTTTTAAGGCTGAATAATATTCCATTGTGTGAATGGACAGCATTTTGTTTATCCTGTCATCCATTGGGGGGTATTTGAGTTTTTTCTACCTTCGGGCTGTTATGCATTCCTGCTATGAACACAGTGCACAAATATCGGTTCAACTCCTGCTTTGAATTCTCCTGGGTATCTACTCAGAACTGGAATTGCTGGGTCATATGGTAAGTCTATGTTTAATTTTTTGAGGAATCATCATACTAGTTTCCGCAGCAGCTACTCCATTTGATGAGAAAAGGACACTCTAACACCAATTTAAAAAAAAAAAGGGAAGAAGTACACAGCACAGAATAAAGAACAGTCATTTAAATGGGAAAAAAGTTGACTTCACAAAAATCTCACCAACCACATTGTGCTTCTTTTTGTCACATCCTTGAGCATCCATGTACATATCATGGTGGTGTGCACCTTTGGGAACCACGCACAAAGAAACAGGGAAAGGCTCAATCGACACCCCTCTGCCAGGGTCCAGCCCAGGTCCCTTGGTCACCCTGGCTCAGTCCTGTCCCCTTCTTGTCCAGCTGCCCTTCAGTCATTCTTTTTTTTTTTTTTTAAGATTTTATTCATTTATTTGAGAGAGAGAGAGCACGAGCGAGAACAGCAGAGGGAGAGGAAGAAGCAGACTCCCCACCGAGCTGGAGCTCAATCCCAGGACCCTGAGATCGTGACCCAAGCTGAAGGCAGGCGTTTAACCAGCTGAGCCACCCAGGCGCCCCTCTTTTTTTTTTTTTCAAAGATTTTATTTACTTATTTGTCAGAGGGAGAGACAGAAAGCACAAGCAGGGGGAGCGGCAGGCAGAGGGAGAAGCAGGCTCCCCGCTGAGCAGGGACCCCGATGCAGGACTCGATCCTAGAACCCGGGATTATGACCTGAGCCAAAGGCAGACACTCAACCGACTGAGCCACCCAGGTGTCCCCCCTTCAGTTATTCTTTTGGCCTTTGGGTTGCAGTGCTCTTTATATTAGACAGATACTGTGCTGGGCACCAAAAATACAATGTATAAAAAATAGAAGCATTATATATACATAATTACAAAATGTAGCAATGATCGAAAGTGCAGTGTAACTATGGTTCTCCCTGATTAAACCTGCTTCATTTCTTTTTTTTTTTTTTTAAAGATTTTATTTATTTATTTGCGAGAGAATGAGAGACAGCATGAGAGGGAGGAAGGTCAGAGGGAGAAGCAGACTCCCTGCCGAGCAGGGAGCCCGATGCGGGACTCGATCCCGGGACTCCAGGATCATGACCTGAGCTGAAGGCAGTCGCTTAACCAACTGAGCCACCCAGGTGCCCAGATCTGCTTCATTTCTATAAGCTGAGCCTTTTCAGCTTTTCCTCCAGCTGTTCCCACCCACTCACTCAAAGTTAGAAAGAAGGCTTACCTGCCTTCAAATAATGCCACGGCCTTCCCCAGCCCTGGGTGTTTTTCTGCTTTCTTTCTGTTCTGCAAAGTGATCTCTCCATCATTTTACTTTATTTTAGGCTCTATGTACATATAGTCTTTTTATGGAGCTGTAACTCCCATGTAATAAATGCACAGTTCTTGAATGTTCCATTCCTTGAGCTTTTACAACTGCATATACCCAGGTAAGCATACCCATGTAGCAAACAAGATGTAGAGACTTTCCATCACTCCAGAAAGTTTCCTCTGTACCCTTTTCAGTTAATCCCTCTCGCTCCTACCAGCAGTCGTGGTAAATGTTTAAAAATGGGTTTTTGAAATGAGAGATGGACTGGCAAACAGAGAGATGAAAGAGAGAGAGAGAGGGAGGAAGAGAGAGAGACAGGCTGATTTGTAATGTGTAGTATTCGCCCTTTCTCATGGTGTAAATATTTCCACCGCGGCTGATTCTCTGCTATCATGAAGTTGCAAAGAATGGTAGCAATCGGCAGGGATGAGGAAGGACGGGTCGCCGCACACCACTACCCTACAGACACCCTAGAGTCTGATTTCTATCCCCATAGATGAGTTCTCTGTGTTCTAGAGCTTCGTGGAAATGTAAGTATGCACTCTTCCACGTCTGACTTCTTTGGCCCTGCACAATGTTTTTGCGATTCATCCATGTGGTTGCATCTAACCGTGATTGTTTCTATTTCCTTGCTGTAGGATTCTTCACGGTGTGTCCTCTGGGCATTGCCCTTCCCTCTTCCTGAGGAGGATGAAGAGATCAAGTGTTTTCTAATGCTCAGAATTGTTGGTTTCCCCTAGTTCGGACTTGAGGGCTCGGCTCACAAGCCTCCTTTTCTGTAAACTCTGATTCTGCCAGTTGCTGCTAGCCCCCTTCTTCTGGAATTTCTGATATACCCTGCCTGTTTCTGGCTTTTACCTCTTGTCTTCCAACCCACCGTGCATTATGTCCTCCCCACAAGTGATGAACGTTCTGAGGGCAAAGAAGTTCTTGGATTTGTGTCTTTCTCTCCCAGTCCAGCTCCTTGGATATAGTTAAAGCTTTCTACATATATGCTGCTTGAATGAATGTAATGGGCATTTCTGTCCTGGGGGAGACAAGTTTCCTGCTAGTCACGTGGTTCTCAGCACTTGATAGAGAACATGAGCTTTTATTGTTGAGATAACAGTATTGATTCATGCCTTCTACCCTCTTCCCTATCTCTACTGGCAAGCACATTTTGCTCTGCAACCTCTCCCTGTTACATATTTCTGTACTTATCATTGATTCTAATCACAGCTCTCTTAATACATCGGTTCCCTGGTCCCAGAAACTTGGGTGTCTCCTAAATCTGCCCCCCAGCCCAGGAAATAAATTTCTAATAGCTTTGTTGATAGATTCAATCCAAGGTGACATTTATCTCATATCGAGGCACAATCTCATGTTAATATCGCATGTGTACACTCTTCCAATCTCAAAATGAGCCCTCAACTTTATATTTCTTACCTGTACTATGAATATTAACAAAAACAATGGTTGACATGACCCTTTTTTTTTTAAAGATTTTATTTATTTATTTGACAGAGAGAGAGAGACAGCAAGAAAGGGAACACAAGCAGGGGGAGTGGGAGAGCGAGAAGCAGGCTTCCCGCGGAGCAGGGAGCCCGATGCGGGGCTCGATCCCAGGACCTGGGATCATGACCTGAGCCGAAGGCAGACGCTTAATGACTGAGCCACCCAGGCACCCCGACATGACCCTTTTGGAAAGCAATTTAGTACTATCTAGAATACGTACAACCCAGCAATTCTACTCTTAGGCATCTAGCCTAGGAAACTCCTGGCTTGTATAACCAGGAGACATATACACGAATGTTCTCAATGGCAGGAATCTGGAAACTACACAAATACAAATCAATGGAAAAAATATGTTCTAGAATAGTCCCACAAAGAGATACTAAGCATCAGAAAACTCACAAATGACAGCAACATTAAAAAAAAAAAAAGTCTTAGGAATATGGGGCACCCGGCTGGCTCACTTGGTAGAGCAGGCAACTCTTGATCTCGGAGTCATGTGTTCGAGCCTCATGTTGGGCATAGAGCTTACTTAAAAAAATAAAAGTCTTAGAAATATAGAGTTATAGAATATGTCTTTATGACACCATGTTTATAAAATGAAATTAGCTCAGCATCGTTAGCCATTGGGGAAATGCAAGTTAAAACCCCGATGAGATACTGACTGCTACTACTGCATGCCATTAGAATG